AGAGTATCGAAAACTAGATAAGGTCCCAGGTACATGGGGGTGCAGGAGGACGTTTACTGGTAAAACGTGGCAGACACGGGCATCTGTGCAGGCTTCGTGGGGTCGATTCAGTGGGTGTGCATCTTGCGGTCCGTAGAGGTCACCAGGGAGGGAGATTTCATTTTGCCACAGCTTTCCTCACCTTCTGACTCAGAACAGGGCATTTTAAAGATGCCTTAGGGGCCAGGAAAATTCGGTTAGGATTCCTGTGGTTTGCTGTCACATGAACTTATCCAAACTTGTGCGCCAACATTTGAGGATCCTAGACAGTATTTTTTGGAATTTTGTCTTGACAGTGAACCACGGAAGTAGGTCTTCCAGCAGCGGAAATTTACCAGGAGCCTGGAAGATGCTTAATTACAAAATCGAACATGTACAGCTCAAAGAAGATAAGGTCTTTGATGGGATTGTAATAGCATAAATCCAAATTTTAGGGGTAGCTGGTTTTCGCTTTTACGGTTTGGAGGCAGTATGGCGGAAAATTTGGATCTCATCTCGGCTCTACATCCCACAAGCTATCAAACAATAAGGTTGAAGTGGAATGCATCACCAGAAAGGTTTTATTGTGCTCGGAGAGCTAAAATCCAAAATTATCCTGAAGTAAATTTTGTTGATTTGAACCAGTGCTTTAGTGCATGAATTTTTAATAGATCAACTTCAGTACCTCCAATTTCTTATTTGCCTGATTTTTTGTTAAATCCAGTGAAGTGGGTGCTAAGAGGGTTCGAGTAACGCCCCGTGTTGACACTCTTAGTCTGCGAAACAAACCATTTAAGGCCTTTATTATTTAGGTGAATCTACCATAATTGGCACGCCCTACAAACACGTTGACATTTGATAGGAATTAACACTTTAATCCAAAAAAGTGGTATTTGTGCTGTGTCTCTACGATTTGTGTTTGGTTTCGAGAGAAGCGCAGACTGTCTTATTTGCATACCAAGGTGTTGCGTTACTTTCAACACCTGCCATCAGAAGGCGGCTGTGTTTGTTCGGTCGACTCCTGTCTCTAACACTGAGGCCATGAGTGGGCCCTCTTGGATAGGCTGATTAACACATTTGCAGTCAAGAGAAGTGGCGGTGTGTAGAGCAACAGACAGTATTGATGGAACAACTGCCTATTGTTTGTATCGAGATAGAATCAAGCCCAACCACTGCCGTAGACTGTTGCAAAAGTGGACTGATAACAACAAGCAACTATTGATGTGTTCTATTTGTGATCCCTTTTTCCCTTATTCGATCCAAAATTGGTAGATACCGATGCAATCCGTCGTGTCCGAATAGTACAGAGATGGAAATAGTGGAAATTCTAACGTGTGAAATAATTTTTATTCTGTTTTTCTGTATACTTTACAGAACATAACCGTTCATTAGTCATTTCAGTCGAAAGACCTGGTTTCATCTAAAAACTTAAGCTAAATTACAATCAGTTGTTTCGCTATTTTACCGCACAAGGGAAACATTTGCCTCTAAACCTCTTTTCTATTCATATCCAATATACAATTATGCTGTCCTTAGAACTGTTTTGCTGTTAAACAAAAGAAATTAATTCCAAGAAGTTTGCCCACATCGTTTTCGAATCGCTACTTTGGAAAGTTAAATAAATCCCTTGGTGTTAATTTTTTGTGGAAACATGGGCTGCCTGCTTGAATTGCAAATAGTCTCATGGGTTTTACCTAGGGCCAAGTAATTTGCCGCACGGAGTGACATCTTCGCCGACAATTCGTAGTTAGCTGACATCTGAGTGTGCATCAGTTAGCGGAAAATCGATAAAATAAATAAATTGGTGGCAAAAGTGAACCCTGTTCACTTTCAAGTCCATCCGCTAGATTTGTCGAAATTAATTTAATCACTTACAGTGAATTTTACTCCAAGTTACTTTTCCAAAAGGCATTGTTTACGTGTTTGTGGAAAAGTATCAACGAGGCCAGGCCTAACTCAGAACGCAACTGCTTCTTTTTTGCCACCTCCGATTCACTAAAATTTTTAAGCAAACAGGGCACGCAGATCTTTAGGTCCAAAGTTTCATTTCTATCAAAGTCCACACACGCAAATTCCTGACAAGTAAATTTTTCTGCCAAGCCAAAGAGCACACACTTTTCGTCAACAAGGCAGGACGTCAATATTTTCAAAAATTATTTTTAATAAGTTCCATTATTGGATGTTTCGCCGTGGGTTAACTTAGTATGGAAGCAGGAAGATGTATTGAAGCCTAAATATACGGCGCCGCCATCCATAAAAGTCTAGAAATTAACTGTTGAAATACAAACCACTTGTGATGACCGACAAGTAGCTCTAGCTGCTTACACGCTGCCTCCGGCAACTTCGTGAAGATTTAAGCATTGTTGGTACCCACAGACCCGAAATACATGCATTTGTTTACAACTGGTCAACTGGAATACGGTCACTCGAAATTCCTCAAGCTTACTACCTGTTTGCCACTTTCACTACTAATACTTTTGCAATTTCGTGTTATTTAACGATCGGCTAACCGCCAAATAAGCATCATCTAACTGCAAAAAGCACCAAATGTTGCATTTCCACGCATGTTTGATCGGAAATTATTTGGACTTGAATTATTTAAAGTACTGGTGGCTACATTTTCAGAAGCAAGCTCCCCAATTTTGCGATCCCTAGCTCCACAAAGTACTTTATCTGTTGTTCTTTTAAACCCTGCTAACAATAGGCACACTTTTTATACCCCACTTTCCAACTTGGAAAAAAAAGTGGCAGTCTGTAAACAACTTGCCGTCTTGGTGGCGCCTGGACTGATTTAGTGTACCATTTCGTGTGAATTCGATCACTACCCTCCACTTCAAAACAAAGTCATCTACGTGATGGAATCCTAAAGGTGATTGGGTTAAAATGACGAGTTTGACGCGAACATAAAATCAGAGATCCCTATTTTGAAATTAACATAGAACAACTATCGCCATTGACATAAGCTACCTAAATTAGCCTCAATCACCCAGGTTTCAATACCGCAGTGATCACACTGAGGGCAAAACAGCGGTGAAACTTGTTACACGAGGATTTCATGCCACCTTGGGCAAAACCTGCACAGGCTATTGGCTACCGTTGTGAGCCAGTCAGGGGACAGGACGTGTAACAGCGCTCCTTCAACCACGCCACGCTGATTGGTTGGCCACTCACACAAACTCATGCGCGGTCGACGCAGACCGCAAAGTAATCAGAGAGGTCTGCGAGTGCTGCGTAGTTCGCCTGTTCGACGGGCTGTTGTCGCTGCTTTAGTTTTCTTTTCTGAGTCGCCAATTTAGGATAATATGCTGCCACATCAGTAGCGCAAAACCAAACCCGCTTTCTCCTCTCAACTGGATTTATACAACGCGATGCATTTCTCGTGGATTTATTTTTGCCTCCTCACCAGCTGCGTTCTCTTCACAAAGTCAGCCCGAAATATTGAGAGTGAGTCTTACTTTTTATTTGTGTTTTGCGGAATTTGGCTCAGGATCCAGCGTGGATGGGGCAGATTGAAGCCAAGTGGATCCACGCATTTTAATTAGTCATGATCATTAATTTCAATTCTGTGATTGATCCATCTAACTACACTACTTTTGTCGCTTAATAGCATCACCGCCCCATCATAATGTACTACTGGGAGCAGATTGGCAGCCTATAACCCGGTTCACCTTGTTGTATCCATCGCCACTTGCTATGCGTCCAAATATTTTGATCAATGAGAGCTGCATGGCTTTACACAGAAAAGTATCGTTTCCTGTTGTCATTTGATGTGCATCATAGGCAAAATAGCGTTATCGTGAGCAAAATATTTTCTCTAAGTATCAAAATATAACCTCAAGGAAGGCGGTTCTCTCACTGTTAGTAAGTTGTAGCTCTGGCTTCATTAGTATTCATTCTTTTTTTTTCTGGCAATCCCAGCTCAACTTTGCTTTTATGCTAATTTAGCAACACTCCGTCTCTACACCAGTTGGTATAATGAGCATCGGTAGGCTTCGGTGAAAGCACACATGCTTGGATAAGTCTGTGTGTGGGATTGCACATTAATTTAAACACGACACAGGAGCTGTGCGGAGCGGCTTTAGCACAGTAACGCTCCGCTCTGGGTGTCTGCGTTTCCATTGGCTAAGGCATTCGGCTGTGGTAAAGCCTCGAAGCGTGTAAGGTTGCTTTAAGTGATTTGTTCTGCTGGGATAAGGGCTCCGTCTTCGTACTCTTAGTTTAGAATAGGTTATTTTCTGCCCTTGGAGGCATGCATTTGAGGTAATGGTGTGGGACGATGTGCCTGCTTTGGTTAGGCGCCGGACGCCATGCCTTCCTTCTCATTCCCCAACCCTCCCCGGCTTGTTTTTGTTCTAAACTTGGCACTGCGCCACCCCACTTAGGTGTGAACAGGAGTCACAGTAAATAATTAACGATTTCATGTATACCGTAAAGTAGCGGACTCAAGTGCTTCCTCAAGACAAACACTAAAGCTGTTTCACCTCCCGACTGCCATCAACACAGATTGGTTTTGATCTCCATCGTTATAACTTCCCCACTGGAATTCGAACCGCTGATATCGAAATTATTTTTCACACGAGGTAGGTCCTGCTGTCTCGTGGACTCAAAGCAACTTTAGTGTAACCAGAATTGTTGGGATTCTGATTCATTTATCACAGTGAAGCAGCTTGAAAGCGTTCTTTCGCAAGCCTTTTGTAACTCCACCAAGTACTCAAACCATTCTGATCTGTTGGGTGGGTAGTGAGGCCTCTGTGTTAAAAACGCATTCAACGAAATCCACGTTTCATAAACATTTATTTTGTCTTAACCCCCAAGACGTAATTTCTTCCGCCCATCTGCCTAGGAATAATATCCATGTAGTCATTCTAACATAGACCAATTTGGATTTCATATTTTCCTTGGCCCACTTACAGTCAGTACCGTCCAAATTGCCGAAACGTTGCGCTACTGAGATGATCCTAGGGTCGGCTAATCGTAATTCTCTAAATTTTGGCGGCTGAGACTTTTGAGTCGCCGGAGCTCGCGGCAGCCTCGTCTTCGTGTTCCCAGGCCATTAACAAGCACCGGTTTGTCCCCTCACTTATCTTGTGAGCACGAAGGTGTTTTCGTGGGGCGATGTTTTGCCCACCGCCAAACAGCCTTTAATTAGAGCCCTAGCGACGGCCTAGATTTCCCACTCACTCCTTCCTCCACATCCACAACTCTCCAGTGGCAACCATCTTCGTCACAAGCTTGGTCGGCCGCATGCAAGCCCATAACAAAAAAAATCATAAAATTCGTGCTGACCTTTTTGTTCTTGTGGGCTTTCGTCAGTCCCCTTGACGGTACACGACTGTCTGAGGTATAGTTTTGTTAGACTAGCGAGCACGTTCCTATTTTAAACAAGGTGCTTAATTTCACGTGTGTCTGAAACCAAGGGTGAGCGATTTCGACCATTTTAACAGGAATTTTGCGTTCGGGAATTTTCTTTCGAGTGCGCTCTGTGTCTTCACTACCTTAAGTCGTGTTTTCTCGAATGGCAACCAGAGACTTCGCTATCGCGTTATGCGGTTGAACGTTCTCTCAGTTCTTGCAGGAACGAATTTTTTGAACTCATTTTCTCTACCCCTGCTTTTTGATGTGACTGGTCACCCCCTTGCCATTCGCCTCGAAGGTGTTCTAATTTGCCGCTGATTAAGAAAGCCACGTTGACCCAGTTGCCGCCCACACGCGACTCTAATTAGACTCGCATTTGAGGCGATGCTGTTCCCTTCGTTGATTGATTACCTGTCCATCTCCTTCTCTCACGTCCTTCCCCCCACCTCCTCCAGTCCACTTTTGCTACTGCTCGAATGCCTTACCGACAAATCCGAATTCGCGCCAAAAGGAGGCTATTGTGGGTATTGCAAAAGCGTCTTTTTGATTTACACGATAAACCCTTTTCCCATTTCTCAAGATTTCTGCCTGTTGTAAAAATAGTCCATGAGATGTGCGGGGGTGTCTACATCGGGTTTGTTTTAAAGTTTAAACAAAAACAACGCCCTAGGTTTCTTAAGGAACGGTAAATCCCATTGAAAGAGTTACTATGCAGCTACGTATGTACCGATTCTTTTCATTTGGAGGGCAATGTCGCATACTTTGTACCGCCCTGCTCTTAAGCGTGGAGCGTCCTTTGAACCTCATTGCCTCGTTTCTTATCAATTCCAATTGATGCGCTTTTGTAGTTTCGCTGCTCTAAACCTTTGTGTCAGATCCGCGTCCTGCCATCATGTCTGCTTTTTTCATCCACGATTCGCCACGAAGCACTCGAATTTCCCTTCCCAATAGAGGGAATGTGATTTAAATTCTGATGCATGGCGTTGATCTTTGGTCGCACGTGTGTGAATGGGCGTGAAGTGTTTCATGTCGCGCTTCGACTATGGGATGAACAGAATCTTCAGGTTTCTACCGCAATGTTTTTCTGCGCATTTGTATGCTGAAAGCTCGAGTGTTTGGTTTAGACCGGAATATAAAACCTCGCGCCGATGGAGTAATTGATTACCCCTCTTAACTTTTTGCACGCGTAAAAGCAAAAATCCAACGGAAAATGGGGTGATAGATCACAACCATCTCTCGGAATTCCGCATAATTTTGCATGAATATTTGTGTGAAAAAGAACCCATGAACAACAGCTTTCACTGATCACAAGCCGACTGTCATGGACAGGCGTGTGTGCTGCCTGAAATCCTTCATGTTTATTCATCGTGATTTCTTTTTGCACTAGCACCTCTACCCACAAACGGTGCTTAGAATGTTGAGAGATTTGTCTATATCGTCAGTCAAAATTTCAGCCAACAAGGTGCTCTTTGTCCTGGAGAAGTCTATTCCCGCCGACTTTGAACCATTGTGTCTGAGACGCGGAACGCATCATTAATTTAGCCAATAAATCAGTTGCCTTAATTGACTCCCCAGTTAACGCTACAGGGTAATTTTTATAACCCCGCCGAAGACAGCTAACGGTACAGAAGCAGTGCTGTCGCTAGCGTGGCTCTTCTTACCCTGCAACTAGGTTGCTAGCCGCCTAAACTAGAACAAGTGATGTTAGTCGTTTGGTGACGGACCGAGTTCTGCCTACTTTAACTTTTGAAGTTAAACTGTAGTGTCAAGGGCTTCCTCAAGATCGGGTAACGTCCGTCATTCAAATGACTTGAGTCCTGACCAGCAGTAGTTACTGCGCTGATCTTTTCAGATTCTCCGGTTCTGGCCACACTCTTTTCAGATCCCTTCTCGACACTTGACCAAATGTCATCTTCACATCAGCTGTTACGCGCACCGGCAGCCGATGTCAACATCCAAATGATTTGCCACTTTGTTGTTTTTTCTCTCGTGTAGTTAAAGGCCCCTCTAACTGACTCACCCCCTTCCCCACGTAGCTCGCATTGGCCGAAGTTATTAATCATATTTATTCGTGCCCTCATATTTGTTTCATTTGTGTGGGTGCGCATATTTTGTTGCTGAAAATGAGGGAACGAAGGGTGGTCCCATGTGTGTGTGTGTGTGTGTGTGTTTACTCGGCTGTCAACCCTTGAACGCCCGAATGCGACGCTATTGTGCGTGTGCGTGCGTGTGTTTGTGTTGGGATGAAATGATGGCGCTGACTCATTTTCCTGCATGCGTGTGTGACTAAGGCTCCCCCTTATCCAACTCCCTCTCGAATTCTCGACGAGCAAACGAGGCACTTGGAGGGCGCACTTGTGTTGAACGACATTTTCCCTCCTTCTTCGATCGGTGGCATTCGCCGGCAAGTGGCCTATTCACGCACACGTGTCATTTCTCTAGGTTTTTGCATAGCTTGTAATGTCGTTTGTGTTTGCTTTCCCTGGATTCTAGAGCCAGGTGGTAATTGCTTCAGCAGCTCCTAAAATCGAGTGTGGATGACATTACTTGAACTGCCCTCCGACTTTCGACGAGGAACCGCTTGAATCATGGATTGTCAGCAAAGTTTCAGAGAGAACGCTGGGATCCATTTGCTATCGATTTTGTCGTCTTGCGTTCTAGCTCTTACGTTATTTCATGAACGAGCTAGTCTCTGTTTTCTTCACGGTGTAAAATGCTGCAGGAAGTAGTACGTTGGGCAGTTTAGTTTCTTCCTCACACTGGCGCACCGACATGCATCTTAATCGGTCCGCGTGTCCGTTAGGGAAATTGTTTTCGCTTGTAGACTTGCCTGCCGACAGTCTGTTCAAACTATTTTCAGATCATTCATTTCTGGCGAAGTTAATCCACTTCTCCTTGAATTACGCACGTTGCAAAAGCTAGCCAACCCTGGACCAAGTGGTCCTTTCTGCTATTTAAACAACGGTGTGTTTCCTTTTAATGCGGTTAACAGCAAATGTCATCTAAAAACTCGTCGCGAAGTTTGATGCTTGTCCTGCTGCACTATTCTCCTCACGATCTCAAACTGATGAAAACAGCAAGTGGGAAGTCGAGAAGTTTCCCTAATTGAATAGACTTCTCGTGATACAACACAGTCTTAAGCAAAATGCGTCGGAGTCCCATCTGGCCTTGTTGTGTTTGGGTGTTTATTTACTAATTAACTAGAACCGGTCCATAGGATTTCTAATACTAGCAGTGAATGCGATTGTTTTCGATTGGGGGCCGATTTCTGAGCACTAGCGGGTCATTCTAGTTAGACAAACTGTGTCCTAGTCGGTTGTCGTTCTTTTTGTTTTATTGCTTATCCAAGTAAATTTTGAAGTGTGTGGCAGAGGAGGATGCCAAGTTCAAATTTAGACCAACTGGCAGGAAACCTGGTTGACCTAATCAAATCGGGTTCTCTCATCTCCCGGATTTCCTTTTTCTTGCATCTACCTTAGCATTTACCTGCAATGTTTGTAACTTCTTCTACTTAAAAATGACGCAGATTAATCTCTACAACCATCGGCTTATGGTTAGTCAGCCAGTGACTGCTGTGACTTCTTCGTTTTACTGCCATAAGATCGCATATTTTTGGCCAGCGTCTTTAAGCAAAGGTCCTCGATGCTCGAATCAAAAGGCTGGAATTTGACGCACCATGACTACTCTATAGTTGTCATTTCGTCCACTGCTTCATGCTGCCCGTGTAAGCCTCATTCTGGTCTCTTTTTTTCGCTGCAGTTGTCCGCGGAATTTCCAGCGATGAACGGGCGTGTGACAGCAGACTGATGGACACCCAGGCCAAACTCCCTGACAGTGCTTTTAGCGCGAGCAGTGTCCGGCACAACTTGCCCGAATTCCGACCTTATCGTGCCAGGTGAGTCTACCACCTTTTTGTCCGCTGTTCCCCTAACGACGTGCATTAAGGTGTCTGTGTCACTTCCCTCTTACTGGAATTGTCATCCTGCACTAAGAAAAAGTGTATTACTACCACGTGGATGTAAATCACAGAAGCGCAATTAGTCTACCTTGGAGGTTGTTGGGATGTAATTTTGACATTCTTTGATTTGCCCCAAACTTGTGAGGATGTTTCTTGGGTTCCAGCTTTGGCCCTCAAAGATGCTTGATTACAGCTGGAACAGCACCAGGAATAACCAGTGGTAAATTTTTGAGCACGAAGTGTCTTCTTTGATATACCCTGCTAGTAATGAACCAAAAGCCATCCTCCGACTCGCTTGTGACTTGGGCATAGTTACATTGATCCCCCACTTCCTAATTTGAGATTGTTCCAGATACGGAGTAATATCTTCTCTCGTTATTCCCCACTGTAGGCTGGCCAGTCTGTATGCCGGCAAAGAGCACACGAGCGTGCGTGTCTGGTGTCCCAACAACACAGTGCAAACGGCGATGAACGAGTGGATCCAAGTGGATTTCCCCGACCTTTTCATAATCAGGAATATCTTCACAGCTGGTCATGGTGATGGAAACGTAAGTAAATGTGCACAGTTAATTTTGTCATTTAAGTGGCTGCTTCCAGATGATCCGATCAATTTCAAATAGGGACCGTTGGTGGTTCTGCATATTCCAAGTGGAGGGGGTACCTTCAAGGGCATAATGCGCCATAACTGCAAATTCTATTATTTTTGATATTTTGCCTGGCAAATTATTACCCACCTCTTATCCAAATGGCGAATTCTCCTTCCCCAAACAACTTTTTGGATACAAAAAACGTCCTACCCACGACTCCTAGCGACCGTCAGCAATTCTAAACTCCCAATTGGAGTGACATTTTGCAAGAGTCAAAAAGGCACGAGTCTTGCGCGATGTTTCCGAGAGGTCTGCTGCTCTGTGCCGTGGTTGTGGTTGAGCACAATGTACCAGGACCTGATTCACCTGCCTTACCAACCGCAATCAAACTTCCCAAGTCAACGCGTTGTATTCTTGTATGTTGACTTGGCTGATCTTATCACGACACTCTTGGGTGATCATCCATGGCTTGACCTTCGGTTAGTGCACCTTCTGTGTTGGCCTGCTGCAAGAGCGCAGTTCTACAC